CTAACAAACAGAAAGATCAGGTGAAAAGTCGTGGAAAAGCACCAAAGCGTGCCGTACCAAACTGAACCGTACCATGCAGTGGAAAAGCACCATTAGAAGAATGAGTCGTCATGGTGACTGTAAACATTGCTTGTGTCAAATTCTGGGTGCTTCACCTGTAAAACTCAGTCTTCAAGGCCTCAAATATACAAAAGAGGCCACATTAAAGAGCTATAAATCCCTTTACTCTGAAGGATTTATAGCTCTTTTATGTGGCCTATTTTGTATGTAGTGTAGTTTGTTTAGTTCGCCCTGAAAACTCACCCTCGTGTTGTTCTAAACCTGTATGAATTCTTTGTTCAGTTGAACACATATATTTTAAATAATGTTGGTAACCAAGTCAATGGTTACTGTCAACTGTTTGATCTAAAAATGTCTAAATTTCTTCAAATGTGCACGCCTTATAAGAGGTGAATTGATACAAATTCACTTACAAAAATGCTTCAGCCATTCAGAGTATAAATACAGCATCAACAGCAAACTGCTATATTATCTTGGAATACCCTCAAAGCATTAAATGACTCTTCAAAGTAAAGTAGCTCGATACCAGCAGCTAAAAAGACTCCCCACACAATGACAGCTCTTTCTCCATGCTTCACATGCATTATTATTACATTTCTCAGATTTTCGAAGACAGCACTCTGGATCATCACCATGCAACTCATGTCTCATTGTGATTCATCACTCCACACAACTCTGCTGAAGCAAACTTCCAATATTCTGCCAAAAACTTCATTCTGTCTTTGACGTTTTTTGTTTTGTTTTTTTTTTTTTCTGAGTTTAGTGCATTTGCTTTCTTTTCTTTTTCCGGTTACACTTTATTTTAAGATGACAGTTACATTGTACTCAATCAATAAGAACTGGGTAATATTAATGAATAACTAATGTACATGTGCTTACTATTAAGTTATGGTTGGTTTAAGGATAGTTAATTGTAATTATGCATAATTTACTGTTATTAGTAAGTACATGTAGTGTGTAACTACATCTCATTAAAACAGTGTTACCAATTTTGCTAATTTCCTGACCAATAATTTGTGGTTAAGACAATTAAAAGCTTAGCATCTAGCAATTTGGGGCGTGCCCTTTTTCTAAGAAAAGTAAGAAATGTTCCTTGAGCATTAAATTAGCATATTAGAACGATTTCCGAAGGATCACGTGAAAGGAGTAATGATCTATACTGGAGTAATGATGCTGAAAATTCAACTTTGACAACAGGAATAAATTACATTTTAAAATACATTAAAATAGAAAAAGTTATTTAAAATTGTAATATTGGTTCACACAATGTGTTTTTACTATGTTTTTGATCAAATAAATCCAACCTTGGCAAATAGACTTCTTTTAAAGAAACAAATCACACTTGAACAAGTAAATATTCCTTTCATATTCAGTTAATTGGATTAGTCTGAAACCAAACATCCTTTTGAAAACTATAATGATGTGTTAGCACCAGTAATATTAGCACCACCGAATAGTCAGAATTCCACTTTCTTGGACATAACACGTTCCATTCCAAACAATGCTAAACACAGAAGACTGTGTGTTCTGTACTGGGACGGTTCTTTCATTTAGGCTCACTCTGCTTATATTGGTTTCTTTGGAATTTTAGAATAAAACAGATTTTAAAAAAAGACATAAATAAAAGGTACGATAGTCTGCAATGAACATATCTTCTAATATGATGTGTTTAAAAACAAAACAAAATTCTAACTTAACTTAAATTCTAACTTACATTTTTTAGCATTAATATTTTCCCAACTGTTTGAACTGTTTCCCAAAAGTTTGTGGTAAGTTATACTTTAAAGAAATCAATACTTCTATTCAGCAAGGATGTATTAAACTGATCAAAAGTGACAGTAAAACATTTATGATGTTACACAAGATTTAAAATAATTATTGTTCTTTGGACCTTTCTATTCATCAAATAATCCTGAGGGAAAAAAACATAAAGCAGCACATCTGTTTACAACAATGATTATAAAAAGAAATGGCAGCATATCAGAATGTTTTCTGATGGATCATGTGACACACTGAAGACTGGAGTAACACTGCTGAAAATTCAGCTTGCCATCACAGGAATAATTTATTTTTTTTTTTATATCTTCACAATTGTAATCATATTTCTGAATTATACTGTTTTACTGTATTTTTGATCACATAAATGCATATTTGGTGAGCATAGGAGAGTTTAATAAGAAAAATCTTAATGACCCCAAACTTTGAACAGTATAAACACATGATCCAGTAAAGCCAAAGAAGGTAAGTCTACAGTATACAGGAATGTCAAAACTCCTTGTTTCACAAATTAAGTGTATGGGACCTAAGAAATAATATACATAACATGTTCAAAACAAGTGTAGGTCATAATCTTACAGAAACTATATCGGTCTTATAAAATTTGACATTTTAAATAAATAAAAAAGATGTTCTTTGCTTTCACCAATGATAGACATGAGTCTACGTGAGAGAACCACTCAAACTTACATTCACAGAAATTAAAATTGACAGTAATATTTAGAAATAGATCACACACTTCCCTGCTGTTTGTCGGCAGACCTGACCAGTACACTTGCATCTTGAAACTTCAACAAGAAATCCTAAACTAGAGGAGGGAGTGCATTTTCCACAATAACCAACACGTATCCCAAAAACTCTACTGCCATCCTATGGATACAAGAAAACCTGCATGCCAAGTTTTCTTATGTGTTTTTAATATACAGTATATACTCATGCTAATTCTGCTAACAATGTTGAAAGAATCATTTAGAGATTTTTGTAACCCATGTGCATGACTTCCAAACCAGAGCTCTTTATTTATAAAATTGGATCATTTTGAACTGGATTCTTAGTCTCTTCTGATTTCAAGAAGGACACCAGCTGCTCAATTGTTTAACAGGACATTTGTACAAAATAAGATGGATGAGGTAGATGAAGTTCTGTAGTTGCTTGAAAACAAATTGTAAGCCAAAAAGGGACAACACACTATTCAGTCATGCAGCCGCAGGTGCCACACTGCCAGAAACAGCACACGGTCTGGTGAACTTTCACACATTTTACTCTTATCATTCATCTGGTGTGCATTAGATGTATCTCCCCAAGATACATTGTTGTCAAATTACAAGAAACTATTTTATCTTAAAAGAAAAAATTACAACATCCTAATGCAATGGTTGGGGAAATGTTTTGACCAAAGAGTTCTCTTGTCAAAGCACCAGTTTCAATAAAAGGATATGTTTCAACCCAGTCACTTTTTATATGCCTAATGCCTGGCAAAACAACTATTGATTTTTGTCAAAGAGCCAGGTTTGGCTCACGAGATATAGGTTCCTGTGCTATAAGGTATATTTTGTGTGTGTGTGTTTGTGGTGTAGTGTGTTTGTTCTTGCTGAATGGTTTACTGTTGGCTGTGAAACAAATTTCCCCTTGTGGATAATAAAGTTGACCTAACCTAAAATTAGCCTATGATTTACTCACCCTCAATCAAGCCATCCTAGGTGTATTTGACATTTTTCTTTCAAACGAATACAATCGGAGTTATATTAAAAAATGTCCTGGCTCTTCCAAGCTTTTGGCATTGAATTGCTGTTTAGTCCATTAAAGTGCATGTTTGTCCATTTCACACGGCTAGTATGGGGGGTTCATAAAGGCTTTCTGAAGCGAAACTATGGGTTTGTGTAAGAAAAATATCCATATTTAAAACTTTATCGACTAAAATAATTAGCTTCCGGCAGATGGCCGTACGGATTGATTTACGGTGGAAGAGAAAATGACCTGTTGACCTGATGCAACCATGAGCCATTGGCGAACGTAAAAGATTGACAGTTTTTGACAGATTGTATTTGATACAAAACTATATAGACTAAATTAAAGGGAAAAAGTCAGAACTGAAACTACTTTCATAGGCTTACAACTTTCCTGCGGTTGTTAATCGATATGCGTTTGTTAAAAAATCAAAGTATTCTTTAAAAAAATATTTTTTAAAGAAAACTGGTATTTTTATTTATCCTGTATTTATTAGTGATATTTTAAAATAAGTAGTTAGCTATTATTTATTATTAGGTTTCTGACACACTAGTGACACCTAGAAGAATTACAGGAAATACAGAATATTGTGCAAATGCCTCTTTCCCAATAGTATCTGTCTGATACTTGATTATGACAAAAGTCGTATGCATAAAACATTTTTTTCTTCTTTTTTATTTTCTGGTAGCAGTGTCTCTTCAGTATTCATTTTTATTAGAGGTGTGCCTCCATATGTAGTCTAGTGTATATTATATCCATGATAAAAAATAACAGCATTTAGCACTAGAACCTTGACTTGAATAATAACTTAGGTCCAGACATAGACAGATAAATGGACAAATGTAGAATCGTCATTCATGAAAAGAATAAATTAGGCAACATCTGTACAACATGCATTTACATTTTAATAATGGCAAGTGACCACTCCAGGGGCTATTTAATGTGTTGTGTTGCTGGCATGTGTTGTGGGACACAGACTGAGTAGCTAAAAGTTCCAAAAGCTTTTCTTTGCCCTTGCTGCGATGTAAAAAAGTTCATGCAACGTTAATTTTTAAGGCAACATTAACTTATTAGACCGTAAAAAAAAAAAAAACTATTGCTTACTTAACTTTAAGCGAGGACGAATAGATTATCAACTCTAGAAACAATACCAAAATGTGTTACAAAAAGTGAATGAAAATGAGTGACAGACTTCAATTTAAACGGTTATCTCTTGAAAATATTCTTACCGTTGTTTCTCTCTATGGCTCTGGTTATCTCTAAAGTCTAAACCATAGGCTCAAAACCATAGCTCAAAATCATAAACGAGCCGCCATGTTGCCAACAACATCTCGTTCTGACATATCGTGTGATTTGGGCACCTTCAAGTTACGCCTGGCTCTGGTTACGCCCAACTTCAAGTTACGCCCCCTTTTGCAGTCCGCAGACAAACCCATCATCTCCCCTTTCGCGGGTTGTTCTTCTTTTTTCCCCTCATTATTCACTCACGGGTACTGCTTGTGACGGCAGGTCTCAACGTCTCAACAGGTAAATGTAGGCAACTTTCATGTAAGGTCCAACATATTAAGAAAATATTTAGCTGTGTTACTAAGTGCAATGATGAGAGTAAGCAAGTGAGTAACGTTAGCTAAATCGAAAGTTTAGGCATCGGCGGTTTTTTTTTTTTTTTTTGACACGACGCACCACATACATCACCGCTCGCCACATCATATGTTCTCTTTCAATATATATAATGTTGTATTCTAGACTTCACGAGTTTGTTAGATTGTCACTTTATTTCCAAATTGTGAAGAAGTTTGCGTTGGAAAGTCAGTATTCTTGCTATCTACTATGCTATGGACATCGGACAGCACTGTAACAATCTCACGAGTCTTCATCTAACGTTAGTCTGTTGCTATGCAAATTAAAAAATATAAAATTTTAATATTTTTAATTTAATATAGCAACATTAAAGATTAAAGAACAATAAATGAATGAACGAGGGCCGTGACTTATCTAAAATAATATATAGGCCTAGCAAAATTTTTGTTACTTGGCTTATAATGATCATTTCTTTAAGTCCACTCTTGTAAAGGTTGAGAGACCATGTGTGTAGTTTCTTCGACACTGGCAATCTTCTCTCCTGCTTGGGTTGGATGGGCACTGTGTGGTCCATCAGCCTGGACAACAACACAAACAAGGGAATGTTGTTTACAGTATATTCTTGCAGTGAAAGTCAAATGGGTAGCCTCGCTAACTTAACTTAAAATATTAATTTAACCTTTGTTACACATCTTATATTTTTAATAGAAAAAAAATTGTAACATGCACTAGTCAATATTTAATATTTCAATTGCAGAGACACCTGTATCCGAAGACCTCAGAGAAGTTATCTTCTTCTCCAATGATCAATGTGATATACTCCTCAGGAGAGTTCATATCTGAACACATCTTAAAAACAGAAGAGGTAAGCAAAAATGTCATATTTTTAAAGTTACAAGTTCTCTTCAATCAGGAATTATTCCTTTTTATTGTGCCATAAAACAAAGTTAACTTAATTTGGAAAATAGCAGAGCTGCATGTTAAGTCAATAGGATGTAAATGAGACTGTTTAAAATTCACTATCTAATACAACACCTTTTTTGAGCTGCACATCTATGCAGTTAGCAGGGAATTGGCCTGAGAATGACAGAAAAACAGTGACGGGTCAAGTTTGATCCCAACTTTTCCTCCGCAAACACATCTTCCATTTCCGTAGTGTAGTGGTCATCACGTTCGCTTAACACGCGAAAGGTCCCCTGGTCCGAGACAGGGTGGAAACAAGTTTTAAAAAATATAATTTTATAACCTGTGGAGAAAATGTTACTCTTTCCGTTTAGAAACAGGGAAAGTAGTTAAGCTTAACATTTCCTCTTTTATGTCTATGGTAATGCTTAACATTACGGATGCAATATACTTTCGCCCACAAGTAGGTTTCATGGCACTGTTTTCACTTTCTTGATGTTTCAAGAAAGATGTACGGCTAATAGTGAGAAGTTTTTTATCTTAATCTCATTTGACCTCATTTTACTTTGTACATTTGCACACAATAAGTGCAACTAAGTAGCAGTAATTTTTCAATAATTATTAACATTTGGATTGCTCACATTAAATTTTCTATGGTCATAGCTTATAGGTCTCATAACATAGTTCATGAAGTATATTATTTTTATTTTTACTTTATAAACTCACAAAGTCCTTGAGTTATTGACAAATCCCAGTGTGGAAGCATGGGTTTCCGTAGTGTAGTGGTTATCACGTTCGCCTCACACGCGAAAGGTCCCCGGTTCGAAACCGGGCGGAAACAAAATGTGGCTTTTTGAAATGAGTGCCTTACTGAAAATTGTTGGAAAAAGAAAAAAAAAAAAAACAGGCAGTTTTTTGAAAAAGTAAAATCGGTGAGGAGTGCTGGCCTACCACGTTGAAATATTTTTTTGAAAGGGACAAAAAAAATGGCGGAAACAATGTGTTGCTTTTTCAATTGAGCACCTGACTGAAAATTCGATTTTACACAGTTTCAGGGTCCAACATGATGACCAGGGGCCTCATTTATAAAACTTTGCATAGGATTTGCGTCAGAAGTGGCGTACGGATGAAACATAGGACATGCGTACGCACAGAAATATTCGGATTTATAAAACCGTGCGCACGCACATCCTACGCATGTTTCCCTTCATAAATCGCAATCAGTTTTAAATCTACCGCAGCTTTTGCGGCTTCATGCCACGCCCATAGTTGCCCATAAATAGTCCGTGAAACGCCCAAAAGTTAATATTCATGAATTGCGAAATCATGTTAAACACAGAGAGGAAATAAAAAAAAAAATGTAACTTCACTCAATGTGAAGTAGAAGTTATCGTTGGCAAGGTGGAAAAGAGGAGAAAAATGTTGTTTGGAGGGCACAGTGTGGGCATTACTAATGCCAAAAGGCACTTGAGTGGCAAAAGGTTGCAGACGCCGTAAATGCTGTAGCCTCACAACCTCGGACTGTGGCCGAAATAAAAAAAGAAATGGTCGGACATCAAAGTCGAGGCAAAAAAAGCGTCTAGTCATTAATTCAAGAGGTGGCCAAGGAGTTAGCCATTAAGGTAAGGAGATCAGCCATTGTGCGTCATTATACGCATTGTGATGGGGCATTTTATTTACATCCATTTAATTCTGCATCTGACAAGCTACGGATGTCGGTTATAATCTACTTGGAAATGGGAAATAGTTCAGCGCAAATGTAATTTCTTGCAGCTTTCTGAATGGTTGAGACACATCATACGTTATTTTATCAAAAATAAAACAAACTAAATGCATATACCATGATTCCGTAGATTATGAAGACATTTTTACTATGAAAACATGAACTTTTCCCAGTGGACAAATAATATGTATCGATCTATCTATATATCTCCCTAATTATCTATCTATCTGACTGACTATCTAATTGCTATATCTGCTCCGTTAGATGGACATATTGGCGAGAATATTAGTTTTGTACATTATTTCGTTCTGTTTACCATCTTATTTATGAGGATGAATTGCATGCCAATATTATAGCAGAAAATATTTCACTTTCTTTTTGGAAATATGTTATTTGCATTTCTGTTACAGATCGATCAAACGGGTGTTCGTGTAGGATGTTAATTGTAAGCTGTTAAGACTTGCTTTGTGAAGTATTCGTGTTATTTATGAGAGGCAGTATTGCAATTTATTTTACACAACCGTCTACAGTTTCACTGGATAAGGACTCAGCATATATTCAAATGAATTCAACAACAGGAGCTAAGCAACTTAAAAAACACTGTTTCCGCCCGGTCTCGAACCGGGGACCTTTCGCGTGTTAGGCGAACGTGATAACCACTACACTACGGAAACCCCATGCTTCCCCCACTAGGATTTGCTAGTGTGACCTATATATTATATTATGAGACTTATAAGTTATAACCATAGAATTTAAAAGTGTGAAATCCAAATGTTTTTAATTATTGAAAAATTACTGCTACTTAGTACTTGTACTTATTTGTGTGCTCATGTACCAAGTAAAATGAGGTCAAATGAGATTAAGATAAAAAAACTTCTCACGATTAGCCCTACATCTTTCTTGAAACATCTAGAAAGTGAAAACAGCGCCATGACACCTACTTGTGGGCCAAAGTATATTGCATCCATAATGTTAAGCATTATCATAGAGAATAAAGGAGAAATGTTAAGCTTAACTACTTTCCCTGTTTCTAAACAGAAAGTGTAACATTTTCTCCACAGATTGGAGAATTATTCTTTTGTCCAAAGGTTATCAAAAAATTTGTTTCCGCCCGGTCTCGAACCGGGGACCTTTCGCGTGTTAGGCGAACGTGATAACCACTACACTACGGAAACTCTGTGGAGTGCTCCATGATACGGCTAGCTAGACCGATTTCAAGATGTTAGGTCTGGGAACTCACAATTGGCATACCTCAGTCCGAGGGGTGGGATAAATGGTTGTCTTTCAATATCCCTCTGCATGCAATAGGATAGTGCTAACCAACCAGAGCAACGAACAGCTGTGGCTGAGTGAGTCCCATGCGTTTCCTCCCTATATTTTACAGTCTATGGTTTTCCCACCAGCGGAGCTAGTTGATATATTAAACTTTTTACGTACCCGGTCCTCAAACTCCGAACACATCTTCCTTTTTTAAGAATGACTTAAGTGATGTTCTCTTAACTCCAAGTCATCCAGAGTCGCGGCCAAAGCCGATTCGAAAGACTGCTGTTCGCCAGCAGCATCTTGTTTGTTTAGCAGGGAAATCACCTATGGAAATCACAGCACAGAACCATCAAAACTCTGCCGTCATTGTGTCAACCCTGCCCACCAACTCTATACACAATGTGATTGCACAATTGTGAAGCCAACGGAGGGTTGCTAGACCACACTTGCTGCCGCTAGGGGGCGTCTATATTTCTAGGCTAACCTTACCCCCTTCTAGCAATGAGCTCGTCTTGTGAGAAAAAGTCTTGTCCCTTAAAGGGTTAGTTCACCCAAAAATGAAAATTAAGTCATAAATTACTCACCCCCATGCTGTTCCAACCGTGTAAGACCTTCGTTCATCTTCGGAACACAAATAAATATATTTTTGATTGAATCTGAGAGCTGGATCAGTCCTACATTGAATGCCTAAGGGACTGGCTCTTGACGGCCCATAAAGTCATTAAAGAAAAGGTTTAAATATTCCATGTGCCTACAACGGCTCAATTATAAGTTTATCAAGCTACTTATCGAGACTACTTTTTGTGCGAAAAAAAAAAACATAAATAACGACTTTATTCAACTATTCTATTACTTCCTTATGGGCGCATGCGCGAGAACTGAAAACAAGGAAGTTCTCCTTCGACTACCGGCTGCTCAGTGGTGAGCAGCCGGTAACAAAAAGTAGTCGAATGAGAACGTCCTCGTCTCTCAGTTCTCGCGCATGCGCCCATAAGGAAGTAATAGAATAGTCGAATAAAGTCGTTATTTATGTTTTTTTTCGCACAAAAAGTAGTCTCGTCGCTTGATAAACTTATAATTGAGCCGTTGTAGGCACATGGAATATTTAAACCTTTTCTTTAATGACTTTATGGGCTGTCAAGAGCCAGTCCATTAGGCATTCTATGTAGGACTGATCCAGCTCTCAGATTCAATCAAAAATATATTTATTTGTGTTCCGAAGATGAACGAAGGTCTTACGGGGTTGGAACAGCATGGGGGTGAGTAATTAATGACTTAATTTTCATTTTTGGGTGAACTAACCCTTTAAGGTGTTCCAATAAGCAAAACTCCAAGGCTCAGCCCTTCGCCTAACTGCCACAAAAACATCCGGACCACAAAAACATCAGGACACAACATTCTCAAAAACTGTTCCAAGATGACAGTCTCTGCAAACTGCTGCATTGTCTTTTCTGAAGGTTTTATCCACTAAATCCTTCAGACGGACATACAATTCCTTAAGGGTTTCCTTCATCAGGACCTCCATGTAACAAAACCGCTGTTGATAGGTCTTAGTTCAGTTCAGATACCTTTATTAGTCCCCAAGGGGCAATTCAGTTTTACAGCCAACCCATCCATAATAGTTAAAATGCATTAACACACACTGAACAAAATAAATAAATACTCACATCCACATTTTTACTCACTAGTTTACCAACCAGTATCACCCCCCCCATACATATAATCGATTAATATGAAAATGCCTGACATGGCTCGAAGAACAATGTTTATTGTCCTCAAAACAACATAATCTGCATGTTACAGCGATCTGTTAGCTCTGTTTGTGGTCGGGGATTTGGGATTTCCTGCATTGTCGAACGCTCTTCTTCATGTGTTTCAAATATGGACTATAATGTTCAGTAGAGCGCCCTCAGGCTGCTGGTATGAATTGAAAACAGTACATCAGTATCCAGTGCTCATAATGATTACATCGACGCATTTGGCTATAAATTCGATAAAATATTATTCCTGTCAATAGAAATTTGATGTAAACTGAGAATATATCAATATTTCTCCAAATCTACACACTTTTGAGCTAAACTTTTGAGCTTTTTCATGAATTCGAACGTCTGACTAACTGACTAACGTCTGACTAAAATAAGACTATCTGTTTCCGTAGTGTAGTGGTTATCACGTTCGCCTCACACGCGAAAGGTCCCCGGTTCGAAACCGGGCGGAAACAATATGTGGCATTTTGAAACTAGTGGCTCACTGAAATAGTTCTTCAAATGAAGTTGTTAGGCTTTTTAAAAAGTGTAAAATTGATGAGGCGTTCCCACCTACCACTTTTTTGCCTACCACAACAAGAAAGATTTAGCACCAGGTTTCCGTAGGGAGGAAACAATGTGTTGCTTTTTCAAAAGAGCAACACTTCAAGGTGGCAAAAGTTTATCTAGACCAGTGGTCACTAAAGAGTTACAAGGTCTCAAACTAGTTTAGTTGACAGCTTTTGCATGGGTTTCCGTAGTGTAGTGGTTATCACGTTCGCCTAACACGCGAAAGGTCCCCGGTTCGAGACCGGGCGGAAACAAATATTTAATTTTTTTTTTAATCTCCAGTTGATGAAAAAAACTGACGTCTAAGCCAAATACGGTAGCCCATACTCAGAATTTTTTCTCTGCATTTAACCCACATTATGAGCAGTGAGTATAAATTCACTCCCCCACCTGCATTTTCCCACCGGTATGGAGAATTGAAGATATATTGAGTCTTCGGGTTACAAGTCTGAATCTTTAAGCTGGCGTGTCCTGTACCAGGCCAAATTAGTACTTGTAGTTGACTGTGCTGGTCATTATATTGGGCCCATAGACTGTTTAAAATATGGACAAACCGTCTGTGACGTCACCCATAGACTTTCTGAAGAACGGGTTTAAGGCTGTTTAAGGGGGGTATGGGTGGCGCCATACTGGAAAATCTTGGGAAATACAAAATACAAATGTTCAGAAAGGACACAGAGGTGGTATGATGTGTTGTGTTAGATCATGGCCGAGACGTCAAATTCCACTCAGCGCAGCCTGTTATCAGCTGTCAATCAAAGTTAACCGCCCTTATTTGGCATACATTTTATATCTAAATACGATCTAATCTAACGAGTAAGAAAAAAAGTCACCCCCTCACAGTTGTCAGGCACGTGGAACATATTGAATATTACAATAAAAGTCCATGAATTAAAACACAAATTTATGCTGTGAAAACGGACATTTTAACATGGGGTCTATGGACATTTGCTCCCTTTTGGGACCGGCCTCTAGTGGATTTTCGATGTATGTTTTTCGCACTTCCGGGTAGGCTTCATGTTTCAGATTAGAATGTTGCCACTTGATTGGGCCCTGAAACCGTCAACCCTCTGTTTGAAGAACAGTCAGTTGCTCTTTTGAAAAAGCAACACATTGTTTCCTCCCTACGGAAACCTGGTGCTAAATCTTTCTTGTTGTGGTAGGCAAAAAAGTGGTAGGTGGGAACGCCTCATCAATTTTACACTTTTTAAAAAGTCTAACAACTTCATTTGAAGAACTATTTCAGTAAGCCACTAGTTTCAAAATGCCACATAATGTTTCCGCCCGGTTTCGAACCGGGGACCTTTCGCGTGTGAGGCGAATGTGATAACCACTACACTACGGAAACACACTTGGAATTTAAGTTATACTGGAATCCTCCATCCAAACTCAGCAACATTTATTATTTTTAGCATAGGGAAAGAAGAGGCTTTTTATGTAGCCCGTCTGTTTTTTTTTTGTTTGTGAAAATCAGACCAAATTTTTATGCACTATTGTAAATTTTAACCAGTTGATGGAAAATAAGCTAATGTGATAACATTCCTTTAATTATTTATCTTTTTGACCCATCCTGTTACTTAAAATGTTTTAAAGGCTGAAATCTGAGGCTCACAATTTTATGAAACTTTTTTGGCGATACTTTATTTGAACATGTAGTAGTACATGTTTGTAGAAAACATTATGTTATGTTATGAATTGTCTCCCAACCAACACATCCAGTAAAGTGATCACCAAACTCTAGCAAGCACAATAATTCTTTGACCAGCCAAGCTAAGGAACAAGTAAAAATTTACCTTACAACTGTATGGTCTTGTTTGTGTGCACCTGTCTTTAAAAAAAAAAAAAAACATTAATCATTTGTAATCATTTGAGAGACATTGCATTTTGGTTGTCTTATAAGTGAAGTTCAGCTTTAGCTATTATTATATGGAATGATGAGTCCTAACCTGGTCTGGAACCCTATAGGGTTAACTTCAAATGCAGAGAAAGTAAAGGAAGTTGAAAGAGTGGTACCTGTTTTTGGGAATCTTGTCATATGTTGTAAATTTCTGACAGTGAGCAGCACCAAGCTTTGTGCGTGGCCCCTCAAGCATCCGACAGGCAAAGTGAGCTACTCTAATAGGCTCCAGCTGCCTGTGTCTGCTGTGGTGGGGGGAGAAGTGGAGGTGTTCTCTAGAGCAGTGCACTCAACTAATTACACTTCTTTTAAGTGATGTGATTTCATGCTGCTAGATGACCCAGATTTTAGTTTTATGGAACAGTTTTTGTTTTCTGAAACTGTGTTTCCTGTAGACCTGTGGTTCTCAGTCTTTTTGACTCGAAGACCCCCCACTGTCCAACACAATATTCAAAGGCCCCTTTTACAAAATGATATTAACATAAATACCTAGTTCTGGCATGAATCTATATATGGCACAGGCTGAAAGGTCCTTAACACATTTGGTAGCGATCACAATCACATTGTTAAAGGGACACTTCACCCATTTGCATTAAGCTTTTTATCTTTAGAAACCCAATCATATTTTTGAATGGCCATGGTTTATTCCCTTATTTCCACCCGAGATGGGAGAAATTATGATTTAAGTGTTTTAAATTTTGAAGATTTAAAATCTTTCTGTCGAGAACCACTGTTGTTAGTTCTGTTGTTAGTTTTCCACTGTTGTTGATTTCAAATATCAACAGAGTTTCTCAGAAATCGCTTACTGCACCTTTAAGAGTTGTAGATCAGACAGCTGTTTTTCATTTCATCATGATTTTTTTTCTGGAATCCTTGTGGGGAAAATTAAAGAGATGCCTAGTGAAAAATAAATATACTATATATTTAAAATACATTTTTTTTTTATACTAAGTACACTACAAATACATTTACATATTATGTACTTAATATAAATACCCTGCAGTTGTACTTTTGGTATACTAAATTGATATACTTAAAGTCTGCTAAATTGGAACAACTAATTTTGTGCACTTTTAAATGCACTTTAGTTATTCAGAAATACTGAGGTCCATCTAAACATATACTGAAGTATACAGTATTTGATTGTGCTAAAATGTAATTATTGCAAGTATATTTTGGGTACACTTTAAATAACTTGCATTTAAAGACTGATATTATACAGAAATGATACCATCCTTACTAATACTGATTTAGTAAGGGTTAGTAATAGTGAACTGTTTTAGGCTTAATATTAAGAAATGTACATTGTGCAAAAGTTTAATTATAATTTTTATATCAGTAAATCTCAAGCGATATGTCAGTAAAAATGTTAATGGTCTTATAGTATACCTAGTATGAAATAAAGGTATTTTAAATACATTTTAGTCTAGGTTCACAAGTAATAGTTCACCCAAAAATGAAAATTCAGTCATCATTTCCTCACCCTCATGTTTTTCTAAATCTGTATGACTTCTGATTTTTTTAAGAATGTTGAATATCTTCTTTCATGTTTCACAGAAGAAAGTAAGTCATACAGTTTTGGAACAACATGAGTGATTAAATTATGACAGAATATTCACTTTTGGTTGAACTATCCCTTTAAAGGGGGAAAAAAAAAAGAATATTTCCGGAACTGTGAATACTAAAAAGTAGGCGGTCACTGTTGTGCTGTATTGCAATTTTCCCATCTTCAGGAAGAACAGTTTGAGATACATTTTTGAGCAAACGAATTTAGTTCTCACTTTCACCTCTTGCCAATTTATTGTACCCCACCTGTAGAGGAAGACACAATCAGTGCCTCGACAAGGCTGGGTAGAGGCGAAAGAGATGGGAACATTTATAATCCTGCTTTCAGCACTCGTCACTGACACAAGAAACCTCTCGATGCTTCAGTCCATTTCCACACGGTGACGAACACTACATAGAGCGACACTGGTAGGTTAATGGAACTCTGTCCATCAATTTTGTATTTCTGTCTTCTGTTTACATACAGTAACAAATCAGATCTGTTGTCTAGTTTGTTCAAATACTTATTACTTCTAGTGAAATTCATAAACTACATTATCTGCTCCAGTAAAGCTCTGACAGAATCTTGATGCACCTAGAATAGGATGTCTGTAATTATTTTGTAAAAGGAAGGAACGATGCATTAAATTGATCAGAAATGACAGTAAAGACTTTTATATTATTTCTATTTCAAATAGATGCTGTCTTAGAACTTTCTATTCTTCAAAGAAATAAAATGTATTATGGTTTGAGAAAATATAGTAAGCAACAACTATTTTCAACATTGATAATAATAATAAATGTTTCAGCAACAAATCAGCATGTGAGAATGATTTGTAATGCTGAAGACTGAAGTAATGCTTTGCCATCACAGGAATAAATTACATTTTAGATTATATCAAATAGACAATTATAACAATTCTTTTAAATTATAATAATATTTCAAAAGATTACTCTTTTTACTGTATGTTTTTGGATCAAAAACTTAAATTTTACCAACCCCAAACTTTTAAATGGTACCTCCATCTCTGCAACACCTTTCCTTTTGTGGGAGGGGCTGGTGCAAGCATGTCTCTTCTGCGATTGGCTGGCCCGAGTGACTGACACAAGTCACATTATTGTACTTGTATCCTCTCCCACAGGATGCAGGGCACTGCAAAAAGGGGGAAAATCTGCAGTGAAGTCCAACTGCTTGATAAACACAAGCTTAATTAGTGTGTCATTTGAGGTGATTACGTGTGATTATGAAGCTGATTATGTCTAAATATGCGAATTGAGCGGGTATGTCAAAGTAAACAAAAGAATAGACCAATTTTGTGTTAATTATTGTAATTACTTCCAAATTTATTACCATTTTGACGGCATATCATATTCATGTGAAGAATTAGTATATGGACATGTACAGTTATAAATGCCAACAACATGATACATGATAGACAGTGGGAGCAGCATAAACAGGTACTCATTTGTATATGAGACTTTCTATTCATTTGTTTCTCCTTTTGCCTCAAATATATTATTATTTACAGAATATAAGGAGGAAAGTAAGTGTCTGAATCATAATTCTACATAATGTTGCTACTTCTGATTGTTGTTGAGCCAAAGAAACAGTGACATATTTTCTGGCACCAGCTTCACTGAGCGAATGAAGCACGAAAGGAGCTGAAGGCAAAGGAGAGCGAGGCTTCCCTGGATCCTGGATGGGAGAGGAACGGATAATCAAAGGGCCTCGTTGAGAGAGAATGAATATGATGCGACAAGTCTGAAGTTGAACGAGTCCATTCCCAGCATGCATGCATGAAATACAGGAACTAAAAGAATAGAAACTCCCCAATTGGATGTGTTCCTGAGGATACTTTTTCATTAGAGTCTAGCAAAGTCAATGTGTCACAGTTGCATTTTAAGTTGATGGAATTTATTTAGAAACCAGAACAAAGCAATCAGTTTAACATTCAAATATATATTTGCTTTTCTAAATATTTACAGTATCAAAATATATACAATTGGTTCAACTGAATACATATTATACAAAATTCAATACCAATAACATGGACAGCTGAAGCAAAATAAAGAAATAAAAAACACCTCGCATAAAATAATATAAAAATGCACATTTATCTTTAAAGCAAGAACGCTATGTACCACTTTAATAATTCATCCAAAACCTTAGATATTGATATTAATTCATAATAAATCATACACTTGCTCACTCTGCCTCAGAATTTTACAGTGTCTGTGTGTTTATGTGTGAGAATATGTAACCGTGAAAAGGGTTTCATTTTCTTTTAGAAATTCTAAATGCTACAAGTGCAATCAAAGATGAATACTTAGTTTTGTGTAGGTGCATGAAAAACTGTCAGGCCTCAATAAACTGACTTGTAATCAACTATATCACAATCTTGGTGCTAATTTCTCATCAGTTATGTTATTTATACAGGTATTTTATATGTACTTTTTAAATATTTGACACAATTTTACATACATAATACTTTGTGTAAATATTTAGGGGCCATATCAATCATTTAGTTTGGTTTTATATGGCAATGCACATGTTTCGAGTTAATGTACTTTGTTAAATGAATGCACCACTGATTTAATAAGTGCAAATGACTAACTTTTACACTCAAAATGATACAAAATATGGGGTCATTTACTTAAAAATTCCCTTCATCCGAAAACCAGCCATGATCTTAAAATGCTCAAGCTTGATCTCACGTCCCAGAGTGTATTGTTCATACAAATTCCATCAAATTGACAATAGAAAAATAAAATACAAATTATTAACGTGTATTTTTGTCACAAATAAACAACAAAACATACTCATATAGAAATTTCCCAATTCCAATTTGAATGCAATCAAAACAGATAAGTCCAACTCTTGTTCATTGGTCAGACAATTTTTGCTTTTTGGACCAGGCAAAATTCCCTTGTCTTTCTTTTAAATTGTTGCCAAAATGATCAGTCCCAGCCTGGCTAAATACTTGGCCAAGTGCCTTGCTACATTCCAACGTGAGAATTTCGAGGTTTCAAACTGCACAGAGATATCCAGGCGCAGAGGCCCCCGTGCTCCGCGAGGGCCTTCGCTCTCGCCACGCATTTTTCCCATAAGAATAAAACTCTTTCTGAGAAGTGTGTCCATTCTGATTAGATGAGCTGGAAAGGCCGGTAAAAACCCTCCCACAGATCAAAGGCCGTCCTTGACCCCCGTCCCCCGTCCCCCCACCCTGTGCCCTCGCCATTGTTATTTTTGATGTATGCTCACTTGGTTGACTGTGACCATATCACCACCATCAGGGCTGGTTAATATCCTGTGGTGTCCAAAAGGAAATAGCCAGCGGTAGGAGACTTCCTCTACAGGTACTGGGGTGAGTGAGCACCAAAAAAGACCCCCATCAAGCAATCGTTTAAAAACAGGTAAAACAGACGTCCCATTCAGATGAGAAATGAAATAAAAGCAGCAGGATTACAAAAAAAGGTCATCGAGAATAAAGGTCTGACACCACGAAACAGATATTAAGCTCAGTGATTTTGTACCTTATTTCATTCATTAAATATTGAAAATATATGCTCAATTGGCAGTTAAAATGTCAAACATTTTCTGAATAATACAAGACATTCAACATTTAAATTCTTTCTCTTTTCTAGTTAATTCATAAATCATCTAGTAATATTCACCAATTACAAAATTTTGCCTACTTTTCAAAACATCACCAATTATAAAAAATAACATGTGTAAAATAAAACCTTGCAGTTGTTTAATTTGACCATCATTGATAAAAGGTTCAAACAAATAATGACAAAAATATGGCAGCAAAAATAAATACGAATACATACAATAATATACAGAAACGTTCATGCGCACCTCAAAACTGCCATTTGATTGAAACAAATAAATTTCAGTCTGCTGACATTAACAGACCATGTCATGAAAGGGAATTGCACCACAGACACTATAGCACCATGGCGTATTTGGGAAAAATACAAATTTGTATTGATACAGTGCTATGAAAAAGTAAGTACACCCCATGAAAATGTTAGTTTTTAGGAAATACAGGTATTGGATACCTGTACCCATTTCATCAATATCAATAGATAAAAGGCATGATAATAAAGCACACTTGGAATGCACGGAGAAAAACTTTTTCACAACACTGAATGTTTCTTCAAAAATATACTTATATCCATGCGAGATTATGGATGTTATTATTTGTTATTCATATCCACAAATATAAAAAGTGGACGGAAGATGGATATGGGGCACTTCATTGAGAATGAGGTAGACACAAGTAACTGGCCAACAACCAGAATAAAAAAATAAAAATAAAAAAAAAACTGGCCTTCCCTGGGTATGAGGGAAATAAAAATGAGGAATTTTACATACCGTACTAGACTAGTACATGTTTGTTGCTTTATACACACAATTGAAATAATACTGATTTTGTAAATAACCCAGAAAAATATTACAATATCAGAACAAATCAAGATATATAAATGAACAAAGCTACATTTGATTTCAGATTACATCACATTTTTTTTGTATTTACGTGTACTTCTGTAAATTATCTTAAATATACAAAAATATAGCAACTATAGACATATTTTCACATAAAGTCTCCCTTATACTGAAAAAGCACCATGATGAATTTTAAAAAGGTCAATGGCTAGCTGAGTTCATGTGAGGTATGGTTGGAAAAAGTCAGTTTTCATGAGAAATGAATTATGAAGAGCAACAGAAAAAGTGATTTCAAGGGTTTTTCAATATAATAAAGGAAAACGGCCTATGGCCAGATGTTTCAGATCTGGAGTGGAGCAATACAAATGTTACTTCCCCATGTTTTCTAAATACTTCAGTATATATACAACTGTATAGTGTTTTGAACACAAGTCACAAAAAAGGGCCTCAAAAGGATTTGTATTTATCAAAAGTACAGCTGCATTGGAAAAAGAAAATTAAAAGGGGGGGTCGGGAAGATACAGCATTCAAACATAAACACATCGACCAAAGAGATGCTCACTTTTTCAGTCAGGAAAGAAAACTCGAAAACAGATTTTAACTGCATGTTGTTTGGTAGGTCTATAAGTGCAACCAAAACTCACTATGAGCAGCAAATGTTAAAACCAGATATTTGCTTACTCAAAGATCAAACCAATTGAGTTTCAGTTTGTTTTCTTCATGTCTTGAGTGTAAAGAAACCTCAGCATGTTGCGAGAATGAGGACTTATGAAAGGAAAAAGTTAAAATAGTTATGAGCGTACCGAGCTCCATTGGTCTGTGCTCCAGTGAGGGTTAATAGAGCAGGACTGAGTATTGCACTGTTCTCGGTCGGGTGGTTTGTCAAGAATTTCACAGCTCAGATCGTTAAAGCGCTCCCCGTTGGGCCGCTGACAAGCGACCAGCCGGGTCTTTATCCCTCCTCCGCAGGATTTTGAACACTAGGGAGGTAGAAACAGAGTATGGGTGAAAGTCTTGTGTCATTAACATATTATCATCTTTGTTAAGACAGCATTTAGACAGGAATAGATGGCTTAGACCACATGTCCATAATTTCAGAATGTCACATTGTTTTGCTGAGTAGGGATGATTATAAGACTTTGTTCAGAAATCTGATATTTTGGCCTATGCTATTCAAAGACAAAAAAAAATCCAGTTAAAGGGTTAGTTCACCCAAAAATGAAAATTAAGTCATTAATTACTCACCCCCATGCTGTACCAACCCCGTAAGACCTTCGTTCGTCTTCGGAACACAAATGAAGATATTTTTGATTAAATTTGAGAGCTGTATAACTACCACATTGGCTCCTAAGGGACTGCCTCTTGACGGCCCAAAAAGTCAATGAAGAAAATGTTTAAATATCCCAAGTGACTACCGTGGCTCAACTATATGTTTATCAAGCGACGCGAATACTTTTTGTGCGAAAAAACAAACAAAAATAACGAGTTTATTCGACTATTTCTTTTCTTCCTTGTAGGCCAGAACGAGACTTCCTTATAGATTTCCACGACGCATGCGCGAGAATTGCGATCTGAAGTAGTGAAGCTGGTGTGAGCAGATCGCAAATCTCGCGCATGCGTCGTGGAAATCTAAGGAAGTCTCGTTCTGGCCTACAAGGAGGAAAAGAAATAGTCGAATAAACTCGATATTTTTGTTTGTTTTTTCGCACAAAAAGTATTCGCGTCGCTTGATAAACATATAGTTGAGCCACAGTAGTCACTTGGGATATTTAAACATTTTCTTCATTGACTTTCTGGGCCGTCAAGAGGCAGTCCCTTAGGAGCCAATGTGGTAGTTATACAGCTCTCAAATTTAATCAAAAATATCTTCATTTGTGTTCCGAAGACGAACGAAGGTCTTACGGGGTTGGTACAGCATGGGGGTGAGTAATTAATGACTTAATTTTCATTTTTGGGTGAACTAACCCTTTAACCCTATACTGCAAGAAATTGATTTTACAAATCAGATTTAAAAGACATTTGTATTAAGTTGTATTAAATGTGATTATAAATGTAAATGCATGATAAATATGGAGATTGTGTGTAATGTGATCAAAACCTTAGTCTTACTATTTGGTAAGAGCTAAATAATACATTGCATGATTATATATACTGTATATATACAGTATATATATATATATATGGGCTGTTTTGTGGGCTTAATTTTGTATATATATAAATACACACACATGCATGTATATTTAAGAAAAAACATTATTTATAAATAAAATATTTATCTTTATTAGGGCTGTCAAATGATTAATCGTGATTAATCACATCCAAAATAAAAGTTTTTGTTTACATAATATATGTGGGTGTACAGTGTATAATTATTTTATATATATAAATACACACACATGCTTGTATATATTTAAGAAATATTTTCATGTATATACTGTATATAGATTTATATATAATTTATATTACATATAAATATAAATATTTTATATATAAATAATATTTGTTCTCTTATATACATGCGTGTGTGTATCTAGTATACTGTATAGATTTATATATTATTTATATTATTTATAAATATTAGGTCAAATGAATAATCACGATTAATCACATCTAAAATAAAAGTTTTTGTTTACATAATATATGTGGGTGCACTGTGTATAATTATTTTCTATTAGGGCTGTGCAAAAATTAATTGCGATTAATCGCATCCAAAATAAAAGTCTGTGTTAACATTATATATTTGTGTGTGCTGTATATAATTATTTTGTATATATAAATACACACACATGCATGTATATATTTAAGAAAATGTGTTATTCATATATAAAATATTTATATTTATATAATATAGATTATGTATTTATATATATAAACAGAATTTAAGCGCAAATAATTCTTAAATATATACATGCATGCATAGGTATTTATATATA